TCAATATTTAAAATTTTATTAAAAATTTTAAAATATGCAGGCAAATTTGCCTGTGTTACAATCTAAGGGATAATATAGAGTTATCAGTTTATACCAATTAAATTTATTGCCAGAGGTCATTAGAGTAAGATACTCTAAGACTTTTGAGTGTTAACTTTGAGTTGTTTTATTAAAGATAAATATTTATATCTTTACATATGTTTCATTACAATCTAGTTTTCTTTAACATATTTATCATATTCATAATATCATATCCACTCTATATACTATATCTACTATTCTATTATGCCTTCTTTTTCTTCTATATCAACCATATTCCTGTTATGCCTAACATTAATAATTGTCTAAGATTGCACTTGACTAAAATTATCACCTAAATTTAAATTATCTTGTACTTCTTTTCTTCTATATCAATCATATTCCTGTCATACTTGATATTAATAATTGCCTAAGGTTGCACTTGACTAAAATTATTACCTGAATTTAGATTATTTTGTATATATTAGCTAGTAATTTTAGAAAGATATAGCTTCAGGTATTCAAAGTTACAACTTTAGGCAGTACTAACTTGAGACATAACAATAGCACAATATTTACTTACAATATCAGATAGTATGAATATTTTTCTAATTTTTTAATTGCGATTAGAATAAATAATAACAGTGCTTCTTGTATTTGAATTTTGTCTAAAGTATACTAGGAGTGCTTACAGTATTATTATTGTTCTAAATAATTAATATTAAAATGCAAACTTCAAAGTATGTCTTATTATTTAACCCAAGATATAATAGTGATATTGTTGACAAGCTAATTGCATAATTATGCATAAAAATAATAAACAAGATTGCAGATTTTAGGTTCTTATATATATTGTTTGTCTTTAGATTTATGTATTATACAAGTATATCTTATAGATCAATACTTCTACAGTTCATGCTTATAAATTTACATTATTATGAATTTACATTATTTATATTTGAATATGAATACAATATATATATTATATAAATATAGTATTAAATATATATTTTTTTTCTATTGTATAATAATAAATATTGTAATAAATTGAAGTACATATATATATATATATATACATAGTATTGTCTAAATTACAGATAATACTCATCTGTAATAAAAATTAAAAATTTTGTTAAATTAAATAGATCAAAAACAATTTTATTTTCAAATTTTAATTTAGGTTTTAAACTCTAAAATAATTTTGTCAGTATGTATAATATAGAGACACTATAATAAGATTATAATTTATTTAAATTATCTATATATAAAGATATAATTACTCTTTAAAAAATTGTTATTTGTATAATTTATTCAATAAAGTATTTAAAATATTTATATATAAAGATATAATTACTTTTTATTTATTGTTAAGTTATTAGAACTTTATATTTTATCTTTTACAAAAAAGTATCTAAAATTATTTATATTTTTTAAATTTTTGATCTTTTTACTATTTTTATAAATTATATTTTTACTAAAACTACTAGATCTATAAAAATTATTAGTATTGCTAATGCTATTAGTACTACTAACACTAATAGTGCTAATAGTATTGCTATAATATTTTTTATTATATTATAATCAAAGATCTAAAAAATTGCAAAAAGATTAAAAAATAATAAATTATAATTTTTATAAGATATTATAATATATATAAAGTTAAACTAATTTATTTATTAATACTATATAATTTTACAACCTGATATAGGTTTAATAGTACTATTTGTATTTTTTGTTTTTTTTTTATTTTGTTTTGTTTTTGTTATATTTTGTTTTATTTGTTGTTTTAAATAAATCAGGATTTAGAAATTGAAATATAATCTCTTTTATTTTGTTTACTCTTTGAATTTGTATTAGTGTTTCATTTTTTCAAAAAAAAAGTTAATTTAAATAGAGCATATATATCTGAGAAAAAGTTTTTAGGAAATTAGAGACAAAGAAATACTGACAACTATTATATTGAACTAATAGGCTTGATGAGCTGATTGTTTAGGTAAAGTCAGACTATAAAGAAAGTTTTTGTAATTTCTAGTATAGTTTATTATTATTAATAAACATAGGCAGAACATAATCATTTTTTACAAAAAAAAAATTATAATATAAAACAATTTTATTCTTTTTTTATATAGTCAGACTTCTCTAAGTACACTTCTATAAATACATATATACTCTAAATACATGCTCAGATTCTAGCCCAAATATATACTTGACCTCTATAAATACATCTTTTCTTATTATTCTTTAAATATATATTGTTAAAGTGTGATTTCAAAAGCATGTATTTAGAGAGGTCTGATTATATTATGTAAAGTTATATAGTCAGACCCCTTTAAATACAACTTCTCTAAATGCATGCTTTATAAAAAATCTTTCTAAATGTATTTTTTCTTTTGGACCCAACTAATCTAACATTTATAGATTTTATTTTCCTAAATGCAGTATCTCTCTAAATGCATAGTTGACTCAATTTTTATATATGGTCTTGTCACATTGCATTTAGAAAGATTTGACTATATAATAATTTAATTGGCTATTTTTAGAAGCCAATCGTCTTTGTGTATTTTGTATAACTTCATGTGTATAAAAAGAAATGCATATATGAATTCTGTACCAGGTTTGTAAAAAAAAAATTTAAAATTTATTGTAATTAAAGTTAGTGTTTAGACTAAGATTAGAGATTAGGTAATTATATAGTAAAATCACTCAAGAAATTAGAGCACTAAAGGTGGTTTTTATGCAGATTTTTGAGAAATAAGCGATTTTTGACAAAACGACTGTTTGTTTTGGAATTTGCTAATTGTGTTATGTTATACCGTGATCTTGAAATCTGATTTGCAGATCAGGTATCTGCGCCACATTGATCGACAAAACCTGGCACAGAATTCATGCGTGCAAAACATTCACAAAAGAACATTAATATTATTGTGTAAAATAATCGAGATAGTCCAAAACTCGGAGAGTATTTTAAAATTTATAGTAACTATAAATGTCAAAATGACCAGTTAAAAAATACTTAAGAAATTAAATACAAGTTTTAATTTTGTTTTATTTTTATATCTTGCGTATTAATGTAAAAATTAAATTGTTGGGTATATAGCTATAGATATAATTAGGTATAAATATGGGTGGTAATTATTTAATTAATAGTATAGATTAAATGGCAAATCTGTAATAACTGAAAAATATAGTAGAATGATTTTTTAGAATTTATAATAAGGTTTCGCTTATACGTAATCAATAGCGATAGTCACATTTTGATCAACATAATTTATACTAAATTTGCCAAAACATTTTGCCCGTTTTTTTTTTAGGTCCCTGATTGTGGTTAATTTGGACACATGATATTAATTACAGGGGTCAACAGTACATTATGGTTAAAATTGACATCAAATTAATGTTAATATAATTAGCAAATTATTAGCTGCGGCTGTGGCTGCGCCATCAATTCGGTGCGCCTAAAGTTGTTGATTGGAAGCTTTCAATCAATTTTATTGGAATGGATAATTGGAAGTTTTTATTGGAAGGCTCCAATACACACATTTATTTTTAACCAACAAACATTAATAAACGGATGATTAGAAGGCATTGCCAATCTTCCAATTAACAACACTGCTAATATGCTCTCAGGAAATTAGTGTATTAGGTATGTACTCATTTCTTTGACCTAACAATCATTTAACCGACATCATATAGGATTAGGGTTAGCATTTTATCAATTGCAGATGTATATTACAGTCATAGTAAATTATCACCCGTTTGATGTCGGTTAAATGGCTTGTACGTGAAATGGCTGTCGGCAAAATGAGTTGTTTCCGTGAGATTATGCCAAACATCACCATAACAGTAGAGCGAGTGAGAAGCGTTATCAGCCGATAGTTTCTCGCCTACTCGAAGCAGACCAGTTGTTAAATAGAAAAATGGCAGAGCTAGGAGATTACCATGTGTAGAGGGAGGGGTTGGGTCGAGAAATTGATTGTATAAGAGTGGTTCCTTTATTTACGTATGGATTTGATTGGTGTCTTTCTATTATGCATCTTTTACATACAAAATACTTTCATAAAATTCTATTCGATGTTATATGTTGTAACCATTTTAGTAAGCATAGCGAAAATGATGTATACGTGAGTCCACTCAGAGTAATTAGTATAAAGTACATACGTACTCATTAAGTATACACATGATTCAATAATTATTGTAAAATATTTATAATATTGGTCTAAACAAAAAAAAAAAGTTCTATTTTTTTATGAAAAGAATTAAATCTTGTGTCGTAATCATTTAATAGGTGAAAATATAATTACAACATAAACCAAAATAATTGGCCAATACAAGCAACAAATAAATGGTAAAAAATAACTTCTGAGCAATTCATATTCCATTATGGTCCACCTTAGAAATTCTTCTAAATTGATTTTTGAAATAATCAATATTCCTGGTGGTGAAATAAGAACTAATACTATTAATTCCAAATATCTTATTATTTCATAAGTACTTGGTTGAAATAACGAAAATGGTATTACAACTATTATTGATATAAATACTGCTAAACTAAAATTTAATACTGATAAACACGATATTATCATTGCAGTAAAAGCTAATGTAAACGATTTAAGAATTACCCAATCTGGTGATGGCGACAACTGATTATGGTGGTTGAATTTTATTTTATGAGTTCGGTTCTGGAAGGCTGTTATTAAGCTTATTGTAGCTATTATTGATATGTTTGTGGTTATCGCCAAGGTAAATAAATATCCCTAAATCAATAATAGCATTGAATTATTCTACAGTATTATATTATGCAGTGGGATTATGTAATGATAGTAAAATAATTTTACACTTACATCGATTCCGAAAATACTCGATATCTGAGAAAGTTTAAAATGATTTTTTACGACAAAGAAAATAATGAACCCAGCGAAATGAGATATAACCAGCGCAGCTACTGGCATTAAAATTTCTCTCGAACGCCTCAGATATGCTGGGGGCGCAGATGCATTAGTCTCATTATTCAATGTACTGGACGATTGAACATGATCACTAGGTGTTAAATCTGTTTCATCGTCGCTAGTGGTTCCCCACAGTTCTAATGCGTAAACAACAAAAAGAAAAGGGAAAAAAGTTAAGGAAATCGTAAATAAAACATTATAATTCAAATAATAGATAAAAATGACAAATACAAAGGATATATGGAATATTAATCCAACTGCCAATAATATGGCAGGTGGTAAATATGAGCCAATGGAAATATATCGCTCCGGTGATGGTAAAAGATAAAAGAAGAAAGACTGGTGAAGATGTTCTAATAGATTATTTAGACTCCTAAATGTTGACTCTACAATGCTGATGTTGATTTGACAAAATTAGATAGTTGCTGCGTAATAACAAATATATATAGATTTTGAAAGCAAAATGAATAATAAAATGACTATAAACGTACGATCCAATTTCAAAAAAACTATAAGGACTTCCAATTGATGAATCAACTTGGCCATATAAAGTAATTGCATCAATTTTATATCTACTCATGTAATTAAACTCATGAATATTCAAAGTTATTCAGATAAATAACACTTTATAGTCAGTCATTTACCTAAAAAACAGGCCATGACTCCCAGTTGGATGTCCTAGAGCCTGATATTTCATAAATGTTATTAGATTATAGAAAGAAGACTGGTAATCACCAAAATCATGATGTGTATAACAGCGTCCGGAATCATGAAGCATTATGGGAATGTTACTTGACATACGACACACTCGTACGACAGTGTTAATCAAATCTAAATTAGGAAGTTGTCCATTGAGGCCTTCTGTTGCATGATAAGATTTTTAGCCATCAATTATGATGTATTGTAGAGTTGAATCTAAAATTTATATTAGGTTTATACCAAAAAACAATCCTAATGCCTTATAATTACTAGTTCCTGGAAAATCCAAATTTATGGCAGCTTGTATCGCTCCTGACCGTAAAAATAAAGGAGATGCCTCGATACCTGGTCAAGCACATAACAATATCAGAGGTAGCTAATACTTAAATAATATGCCATAGAATATTTAATAGAATCACTACCTGATTGTTTATGATCATGATACGACTCTAGCCAAGCTTGTACTCCAGCCTCACCCCCATCCGTTATCAAAATGATAATATCCTTTGACCAATATGTATAATCTAAAGTTTAAATGGTTGTTACAAAAGTCTTAAAATTCAATAATACTATCCCTTAGAATTTATTGTCAATTTGTATTCAAGAACCTGTACTTTTAAAGAATTTGCCCAACGATAAAGCAGCAGCTATTCCATTAATATTGGCTAATATAAAGAAAAACATATTAAGTTAATGATGATTAACCTTGGAGTCCACATTGATAATTCGATAATCTTACTAGTTACGCCATCTTTAGATCTCCACGGTGCGCTAAGAACCAATGCTTCCGTACCGTCAGTACGAGGAGAGTTCAACACTCCAAATACATTAATTCCGGATATAACCTGAAAAGTTCAAATTAACTACATAAAATCTCATAACCAAGATAACAGGAACTTCTCTATAAAACATAAATCACATGACGAACTTTTCCTGAGGATATTGCGGTAAAATTTTGTGTTGCTGTTTTTAGTCCAGCTCTTCGTAACTCGCCTTCTATGTAATTTATTTTCCTATAATATTAATAATTAAGCATAATATCTTCAATAAGAGCAACAATTAATGAATATAGACAGTGAAGCACTACTCTATATTTGATGAATTTGACATTGATTTGATGCGATCTCTATAAGCCGTGGCATCAAATACTTGCTGCCAGCCGTAATATGTATTAACCTACATTTATTAGGATTTTAATGCAGATTAGGCTATTAAATCAATATTTACATAAAATTGAGCAAATAAAGTTACAAACCTGACCAGGAAGAAGAGCATTTTCTGATATATATGTGTGTTTGCTATATTGTTCCGATGGAAAAGTAAAAAGCCACCCTACTCCAACCAAAAACAATAGATAACTGTCGGAAAAAAATAAATTTCTATGAATAAATTGAATAATAAATCATAATATATATGTGTAAATACCGAAGTTTTGGGATCCATTTTTTTAGAGAACGGACTAATAATCTACGTTTTTTAAGTCGTGCTAACGCAGTGAGCGACATGACCTCTCGAGTTATTTATGATAACTCGTTCGTAGTATTTTATAAAATTTAGAATGATTTGGGGTAACAAGATTGCATATTTTGTGGAACGTTATTTTTATAACAATAATAAACGGATCCACATGAAACATATCTACTTTCGGGGGATGGCTAAAGCCAGGTGTGTTTATATGTCTTTGAATATTTAATTAAAATTAGGGTAAGGGTTGGTTAGGGGTTAAGGTTAGAATAAGGGTTATAGGTAAAATTGCCTTACTGACATTTTTTATTAGTGCCCCGAGATAGGTTTAGACACTCGTTTTCTTTATTTTTTGTGTTTTTCACTTTTTTTCTTTGTTTTTGTCTCGTCGGGCTGATCCGGGTAAATCAAAATTTATTACTTGATTGGCTGTTGGTCACGTGAACGCACCTGGCTTTAGACGACCCCTACTTTCGAGCGGAATCTCAATGATCACGTGAGGAATGCCAAGAGATGGATTTCGCCAAGAGAAAACATTTTACTAATCACAATCCATAAAAGATCAGATGGACTGAGTCCGGTAAGCAATAAACTCGAAATTCGATGGTAGGTTTTCCTTCGGCGACGGTAATACGTCTACTATAAGTCTATTACTTTAATTAACAGGTACAATAAACCGATCTTTTAAATTAAATTGGTCTTAATCCTGCAGAGATACTTATTTTTAATGAAAATTTGTCTGAAAACGAAATGAACAATTCAGTTATATATCATTATAAATAAGATATTCATAACATTCAATAAATTCTGGAACATTCTGCTTATATCAGGTTTTAAAATAATGATTTCCCGTTACTGATAGAATCTCTGGTCCGGCAATAATTTCTAACCCATTTATTTGACCTTTTTTTTGGCAAAGGCTGACGTTAAACGCGTAGAAAAGTGTGTAGCCAAAGAAACGCCCACCATACCGATCCAAGACGAAAGCAGAGGGGCGGACGATGTTTCTCCGAGTCCTTTTAAAAAAAAAAGGGTCGATGCGTGAATGGATGCGGCCTCGTCAGCAGGAGTTGCCACACGAAATTAATTTAGCTTTAAATAATGGGTATTGATACTTGTTATTTTATTTTATTAATTTTTTTTATTTTATAGACTCTATAACGCGGTCTGGAGTTTATAAAAGCGTAGACTTTGGGACCGCATCCCGTTGTGCCATTGGAAATACCTGGACATCTTAAAAATTATTTGGCCAAACCAAGACCAAATGATAAGTTAAAGGAAGCAGATGTTCAACAGGTTGGGGTTTCAAGTTCTCTGTGGGTGAATCTTGGATCCATCGGTTCGAGTATGGATCGAATCAAAGCTGAAAAAGCAGGCTAGTTAGTATTTATTAAGATTTAATTAATTTTATTAATTTATTTGAGTTGAACAACATATTGATTGTCTAAAAGAAAAAATTGGGGCCTTGGAGGCTGAAAAAAAAAAGAAGCTAAACGGCATTTATTAAAAATTTTATTTATCTCAGTTGAACAACTAATTGGTTTTGTTTCAATAATGCTATAACGACAATATAAAATCTACAAAGTCATTAAGTATATTGGCTCGAACCTGTTCAGAACTCAGTGAAAATCTCGCATCAGTTAATGATGATGCTCAAAATTACTTGGGACATTAAAAAAAGGAATAAATCTCGATTTAAGTATCTAATTGTAAATTTTTATCTTGTAGCAGTTAACTACGTATATAGTATAACGAATACATATGTGTATTGGTTTCTTCGTGACTTATGGAGTTTATTAGACTCTTATAGCCAGTGTTGTCAATTGGACTACAGTAATTAGACCCCAACTGATATCGATATAATCCAATTGAAATTGGACAGATCTACTTAGTCCAATTGGAGAAATTGCTTACAAACCAACAATATTTAGTGTGTTAAACAATTGGTCTTGGTTTTATTCGATAAAATTGTCAAATTATAAATACTGTAAATCACCGTGTACAAACTACCTAGGTGCGAACTACGGAATCAAACTTGGTTTTTTTTTTTCAAATATCTAGACTGCCTATTATAAATGCAAAATATGCATGCTCTTTAAAGTTTTCTCTTAATGTCATAAACTCTCATCTGCAAAAAAAGACAAATAAATGCGGCAGCTTATGAATTTAGAGCCTCATACTGTAATTAAATTTATAATTAAATTAATTACAATGCATGTAATATTGTCACCTACAGGATCGATAAAATTTTTAAAAGTTCGTTAGGGTTAACGTTTATATTAATATTAGGTAATGACAAGGTAATAGTAAAATAAGCCCAAGAAAAGCTTTTTGTTAGAGCACTAAAGGTGGTTTCTATGCAGATTTTTGGGCTATAGGCAATTTTTGGCTTGGTGATATATAAGCCACAATCACATATGTGACAAATAACTTTATCCTAAACTTATAATACGCATCTACTAAAATTCATATAACTTATGCTCTTATTAATAATACCACCTAAATTCTAACTTAACAAACAAGGCCCCAAAATTGTTAATTTTATATTAAGGATATTGCTAACTTGCCCCGGTTAACATAACTACCCTCTTATTATAACTCAAAAAACAATCTAAATAACCATGTTTGATGCATTAAGCAAAAATGTTCAGCACTCTAAAAACCTTATTCTAGCTTAAATCCTACCCAAACCTTCTTGACTCTAATTTTAATTTTAGTTTTAAAATTTATAATAAATTATAGCTGGTTAAAATTTATAATTTTAACCAGGGGGTAAGGTAGTTAAATTCTATATTAGGATAGGTTAAAATCCCAGCTTAGACAAACAAAAAAACTTAATTAGAAGGTTTATATAAAATCAATTATGGATACGTATAATCAGCGTTGACACTTTATTGTTCTATTAACCTTTTAATATAACATATTTATTTAATAATTGTGACGGATTAAAATGAAAATTTGTATAGTGTAAAATAGACAAGTCAGAGAATACAAAATTTTGGGTGCATGTTTTAGCTTTTGTTAAGCATTAGGGGACAGCTTTAGGGATATAAGCGAGTTTAGGTTGCAAATAAAAACTCTAATTTCATTTTAATCCGATTTTATTATGATCCGCGAGCAAAAAAATCGGATAAGAGATGCAACGGATTTTAATCCGTTATATCGGTAAGAAAATAAATAAATAAAAAATAACCAATATAACGGATTTTTATTATATATCCATAACTGACTGTATAACCGTATAATATAATTGCTATATAAATCTATATAATATTTTAATGTTTTAAAATCCGATAACCAATATAAAACCTGTCCACCATGCATATCAGTTTTGAAAGGTTTGAAGTATAACATTTATTGTATTGTATTTCAAAAAAATTTATTTAACTTTGGGAAAATTTATTTACAAATTAAATTATTATCATTATGATTTTAGATGCTGCACAAGAAGTTTTTTGAATATAAAGTGATATGTTTCATTTATAAAACGTTCTGCATTTTAATAAAAAAAACATGATTTATATTCTTCGTTTGTTTTAATTAACATTATATTTCTTTTGTTATCCTAATAATAATGAAAAATTAGAAACATTACATACAAAATATCAAATAAAGCAGCCTACAAGGGAAACTAATCCGTTATATTTACAGTAATATGATGCTGAAATAAACGTATATTCTTATAGGAATCAAAAATTAGGCATGCCATACCCTTCGTGCCCATAAACATGCTTTTTTCAACCAAAAAGTTGACCTTACTCGTCTTTTTTATATTGCTTGATTCCCGACATGGAGATATGAAACATGTGTCACATACAGTAACTAGGGCATACACAATAGCCTTGTGGTACGTATCCCATGCCTTGAACTCTACTTAGGGACTCAAATCTTTAAATTACATCCTGAAAATCAAAAATTGCTACCTTAACGTTAAGATTCTTTAAAACTATAAGAAACATAATATGTCCAGTTTAGCAAAATATAACGTATTTTTTATTATAAAGGAGACATGTCTGAGTTTACTTCTGACATCAATTTTCTATATAAATTGAATTTATGTATATGTAGCACGTTATTCATACAATTGTAATATATATGCGGAAGAATGAGTAATCAGTGGCTAGGATTCACAAAATTTGCTGGTCGTACTAATTCGAAGAGACAAATAAAATGAATGAATATACATTATTTCTACAAATAACAGAGATTAAGAAATTACCATTTTATCTAGGCACATTTCATTGAGCTAATTTATTTGACCACTTCATGCACGATTGTACCGCCAATGTTACTTTAGTACGCCTACTTCTTCGTAAATCTTGATCCGTACGTGAAGAAACTATGTCCTAATTTCAATTTGCAAATTATTAGTCTAATGTTTAATATTACAGTAAATAATTTAAATTAAAAAAAAAATTTCATACCTGTTGTCGATTACTCATACCCAAAGTGATATCTCGGTAATATGCAGTCAATTCGTTGTTCAATGCCAATTCACGCGATCCCTTGGTGTTAAGCCACCGTTGCAATTCATCGATCTATTGAGTGATTTTATAGCAATGCATTAGATAAATCAACTACACTTTTATCAATCACAACGACAGAGTGAAACCTAAGAGTGGTTATCTTATTGATGCAAATCATTACAAAACATAAACATATTGCTAATATATTAGATCTGCATCAAAAAGGTACAAAACTCGGTTTCACTCTTTAACATCATAGTTAAACCTGGCTTGTGTCTTCATAGTATCCCCACTGTGCTTGGTTATCGGAGCCTAAATTACAATCAATTTCCTCAACTTTTCTTCTTTTACTAAATCGTTGTTCTTCTTTCTCAGTCATTTCCTGCAAATCATGAGCGCTAGGTATCTCTACGAAAATTCTTCCTGCACCATATCGTTCACCAGCTGCTTCTCCAATACAATCAAAATAGTAATATTTATTATAGAAACGGTCATATCCCAAAGGCGTAGTTCGTGGAAACGCGTATTTGCGTTTTTCTATTTCAATTTCCT